ATGGCCTGGAAAGCTTTTAGCCAAACACCCTGTCATGGCAGAGAAGGTATTCAGAATGCAATGTTTGTAAGGCGACATGGCCCAGGCGTGACAGAACTCACTACCACGAGAATGGAGCCGATTAGGGCCTGCTTCTGTGTGGTGGCCTGAACTACAAAGCTGTAAAACCGAAGAGCGCTCAAGACCTCCGGACCTCTACAGAATCACCCCAAAAGCCCTGACACTTAGCAAACCCTAGAAATCATTAGGCCCAACCACCTCAAGGCCTCCAAACCCTAAACCCTAAACCCTAAACACTAAATCCTAGACCTAAACCCTAAACCCTAAACCCTAAACCGGGCTGTGCAGCTCTAGGACACTGGGCTGTAAAGCCCCAGGCTAATGGTCTGTGAAGCCCTAGGCCGGGCTGTAGAGCCCCAGGCTAATTGTGGCCCGGGCCCGAAACCTAGACCTCAAACACTAAACCCTTTAAACCCTAACTAAACCGGGCGGTGTAGCCCCAGGACAATGGGCTGTAAAGCCTTAGGGGGGCTGTAAAGCCCTAGGCCGGGCTGTATAGCCCTAGGCTAATTTCGGCCTAAACCCCAAACCTAACCTCAAACACTAAACCCTTTAAACCCTAAACCCTAAACCGGGCAGTGTAGCCCTAGGACAATGGGCTGTAAAGCCCTAGGCCGGGCTGTATAGTCCTAGGCTAATTTTGGCCTCAACCTCAAACCTAACCTCAAACACTAAACCCTTCAAACCCTAAACCCGAAACCGGGCTGTGTAGGCCTAGGACAATGGGCTGTAAAGCCCTAGGACAAGGGGCTGTAAAGGCCTAGGCCGGGCTGTATAGCCCTAGGCTATTTAATTTTGGCCTAAACCTCAAACCTAACCTCAAACACTAAACCCTTTAGCCTAAACCGGGCTGTGTAGCCCTAGGACAATGGGCTGTCTAGTCCTAGGACAATGGGCCTTGCTGGGTCATGGGTGAACCCCTAGGCTGGGCTGTGTAGCACTAGGCCAATTTCGGGTTGTCTATTTAGTGCTAGCGTCATGGGCTGTGAAGCCCTAGATGTGTCGCCCCAGGGTCATGGACTGTGAAGCCCTAAAGTAGCCTCGATGTTTGAAACCCTGAAGCACTTCCTGTACCTCAGGTTGGCAACCTCATTACTGTGGACTTGACAAATCCAAGCAGATGCAGGCAGGACCTTGTGTTTCTTCAGTTGGGGGTTTGGGAACCACTCACAACCCCATTTCTCCTACCAGTACATGGCCAGAAGAAAACACCCAAATCCTCAAAGAGATGATAATCTTAGGGCGGGGTTCTCATCCTGGTTTCTGCTTCAGGCTTCACCCCTCCACCCTAACTCGGTAGAGGTTTGAAAAAGGCTAGGCTGTGGGATCCTGTTTTGGGGCAAGGGTCTTAAGATTCGGGGGTGGATGACTTGAAGATTCAGGAGGAACGCCAAACCTTAAGCCCGAAACCCTAAACCTAAACCCTGAACCCTAAACCAGAAGTCAAAGGCTGGTGCCATGATAGTGCAAATGTAACTGTTGCTGTCCCATGCAGCATTTGACCTCGACACAAGTTTCCAGTTGACGGTGCCCGACCCACCCGCCATCCATTGTGGGCTCGCATGGCTTTGATCGTTTGCCCCGTGTGTGGACTGGAATGCTTCAGCAAGCAGCTTGCACCGAGCCAGTGGAAACGTGGTGGCTGTGATGTTGGATGGCTTTTCAGCTGCCTTGCTTGTGGCTCGTATGATAATTGGCAGTATTCCTTGTTGTTTCCAGTGGCAAGGGTGCCCTAGACCATAAATCCTACTGTAAATGTTTTATAGTGTTTCTGGCGAAGGCACTTTGGAGCGCCGTCCCTTGGCAAGCTCCATGTGCTACCACTGGAAGATGGCAGACTGGTACCTGCGTCATTTAAAGTACCATAGTGATGTGGAAGATGACGTCAGACGCATTGTGCTAGAGGAGCAGAGCCACAACGTGCTGCATGTGCGGTATCCCAACGTCGAAAGCCCCTTCAAGGTCGACGTGGGACATCGCGTTATGTCACTTGCCGTTACCCTGCTTTGTTCTGAGCTCGCCGGTGCGTGGGCCAAGCATATCACCTATCTGACGCAGGGCACCTGGATGGAGGCATACATCGTATGGGTGTATGAGCGTGCACCTGGGCACCAGCAACAGTTGGACGTCGAGAGCTTCCTTTGGCATTTGTTCAACTGCGTCAAGTTTTCGTCGATGGAGGCAGATGAGATGGAGCAGCTTCGAGTGGACAACGCCGACTGGAGAACAATGTCACTGCATTTTTGGCAGCGCTCTGGGTGGCGGTGAACTTGTACAGAACCTAATTTGGAATTGGCTGGCCTAATTTCGGAACTCGCTAGCCTAGCCTGGCCTGCGCATGCCATGGCTACAGGGCTTGAGGTTACTGTACTACTGTAACGTAAACTGCTGGTTGCATGTTGTCACAAACTTACATGTTCTTAGTGTGCATGGCTGCGATCATGGCCGTGGCAGATTTTGAATCGCATTTCTGTGTGTCAGGAATCGGCTGGATGTGTGTGGCTGTAAAGTGCCAAGCCAGCCTTTTTTCGCAGGACACTGAGCCGCCGTACCGAGCGATCACAGACCTGAATCCTTGCAACCCTCGTCGTGGCTCCTCTGTACACACCCTTGTAAAATTGAGTCTGTGGGTTGCTGGCTTGCAGCATTGTATTCTGCCTGGACAGCACGCGAGATGTGCCCAAAGAGCGTTCCCTTCTCAAGCTTTGAGCTGTGTTGGCTGCAGTGGCTCTTTTCATTTTGCCAAAAACCTTAAAATGTAGGGCCCCTGAACCTGTCGAACGCTTCCAGGAGAAGAGGAGGCGGTGGGAAAGCCAACAAGGACGGAGCCGAAGAGTGTTTTTTTTTGGAAAACACTCAACCTGGACTGTCAACCCTCGACCCCAAACCCTAAACCCCCTCAACCCCGAACCCCAAACCCTAAACTCTCTACACCCTGAGCCCTAAGCCGTAAGCCTTAGGGGCTGGGCTGTATAGGCCTAGGCACCCTAAACTACCCGAAACCTTAAACCTGAAGCCCTAAACCCCTGGGCCTAAACACTAAAGCCTAGACCCTCAACCCTAAACCCTAAACCCTACATCCTAAACCCTAAACCCTAAACCCTAAGTCCTAAGCCCTAAGCCCTAAGCCCTAAGCCCTAAGCCCTAAGCCCTAAGCCCCAAGCCCCAAGCCCCAAGCCCTAAACCAACCAAACCCTAAGCCCGAAACCCGAAACCCGAAACCCTAAAGCCTAAAACCCTAAAACCCTAAACCCTAAACCCTAAACCCTAAACCCTAAACCCTAAACCCTAAACCCTAAACCCTAAACTGAAACCCTAAAGCAGGCTGTGTAGACCTAGGACAATGGGTTGTAAAGCCCTAGGTCGAGTTGTATAGTCCTAGGCGGCCTAAACTACCCGAAGCCTTAAACCTTAAACCTTAAACCCTAAACTCTAAACCCTAAACTCTAAACCCTAAACTCTAAACCCTAAACCCTAAACCCTCAACCTTAAACCCTAAACCCTAAACCCTAAACCCCAAACCCTAAACCCTAAACCCTAAATCCTAAACCCTAAACCGTAAACCCTAAACCCTAAAACCTAAACCCTAAACCCTAAAGTGCAGCCCTAGGACAGTGAGCTGTAAAGGCCAGGACAAAGGTGTAACTTTTGTCGGGTACCCGACGGGGTACCCGCATGGCTCCCCAGAATTTAAAACTAAAGCCTAAACCCTAAGCTCTAAACCCTAACACCAAAACCTCCTGAGATGCATTTTGCATGTTACGATACTTGTGCCTGAATCCTTGAACGTTTAAAGCATCACCATGAGTCTCGAATCACACCTTAGGGTTTAGGTGTAACTTAAAACGCCAAGTGGCAGATGAACTCTTTAAACCCTAAACCCTAAACCGGGCTGTGTAGCCCTAGGACAATGGGCTGTAAAGCCCTAGAACAATGGGCTGTAAAGCCCTAGGTCGGGCTGTAGAGCCCTAGGCTAAGTTTGGCCTAGCCCCAAACCTAATCTCAAACACTAAACCCTTTAGACCCTAAACCCTAAACCGGGCAGACAATGGGCTGTAAAGCCCTAGGCCGGGCTGTATAGTCCTAGGCTAATTTTGGCCTCAACCTCAAACCTAACCTCAAACACTAAACCCTTCAAAACCTAAACCCTAAACCGGGCTGTGTAGCCCTAGGACAATGGGCTGTAAAGCCCTAGGCTGGGCTGTATAGTCCAAGGCTAATTTTGGCCTCAACCTCAAACCTAACCTGAAACACTAAACCCTTCAAATCCTAAACCCTAAACCGGGCTGTGTAGCCCTAGGACAATGGGCTGTAAAGCCCTAGAACAATGGGCTGTAAAGCCCTAGGTCGGGCTGTATAGCCCTAGGCTAATTTTGGACTGCGTCATGGGCTGTGAACCCCTAGGCTGGGCTGTGTAGCACTAGGCCAATTTCGGGTTGTCTAGCCCTAGGGTCATGGGCTGTGAAGCCCTAGGTATGTAGCCCTATGTTGTTAGCCCTGAAACACTTCCTGTACCTCAGGCGCTGCAACCTCATTATTGTGGACTTGACGCAGACGCAGGACCTTGTGTTTCTTCAGTTGGGGGTTTGGGAACCCTTTGGTGAACACCTAGGCTGGGCTGTGTAGCCCTAGGGCAGTCTAGCCATAGGGTCATAGGCTGCGAAGCCTTAAATTAAAATTAGCCCCAAGGATCATAAACCCTGAAACAGTTCCTGCGCCTCAGGCTTGTAACCTCATACATCCCAGATCTTAAGTGTTTCATTTGTGAAGGCCTTCGGGCTCGAGACAGGGCAGTTGCTGGGTTTCATGTTTCTAGCATATATCACCTTCTTAAATTCTTGCTTCTAAGCCAAAGTAGACACCAGACTTGGCCTGGCCTGAATCCCTAGGGATTGGTGCCAGATTTATATTGCTAGAATTGGACCCTTAAGCCCCACATCATGGCTGCCGACACGCACTCGAAACGACTGTGTCTCGGTGGCACCATGGCTACGGTGGAGGTCAGTTTGCTGAGTGGCAGGTCGGTGCGTTTGGAGGCCAACCTGGCGGTGACTGTCGGTGCGTTCCGGGATCGCTCCCGGCACGCGTTGGCAGCTGAGCGGGGTCGCCTTCTTTTTCAAGGCAGTTATTTGATGTCCGCACATACACTGGCCGAAGCCGGCATCAGCGATGGCTCCCAGCTGCAACTGGTGGCTATGCCCGTGCAGGTCGTGGGTGCTGAAAAAGCATTTGCCGCCATTCGGGGCGATGGGTCCGTGGTTGCCTGGGGTGATCCTGAAAATGGTGGCGACGCCAGTGCTGTACAAGATCAGCTCCAGGATGTTGTGCAGGTGCAGAACACAAGCTATGCTTTTGCTGCCCTTCGGAGTGATGGATCTGTGGTGACGTGGGGTGACCCCGAATCTGGTGCCGACAGCAGCTTTGTGCAACATGAGCTGCACGATGTCAGATGCATCCAGGGTGGTGTCACCGTTTTTGTGGCAATTCGCACCGATGGGACAGCTGTGACCTGGGGTGAAGGTGTCTTTGGTGGTGACAGCAGAGGCGTTCGAGATGCGCTGACGGATGTCCTTCACGTCCAGATAAACCAAGGATCATGCTGTGGGGTTGCCGCAATCTCGAATGATGATGGAGGCAGCATTGTGGCGTGGGGCGATCCCATTAATTTCGGCCAGATTGCCACTCCACACAGGCCAATTGCACTGCAATGTACCGACGAAGCCTTCGCTGCCATCTTGGCCGACGGTTCCGTCGTGACTTTCGGCCGTGATTATTTTGGTGGGGACAGCTCCTTGGCTTTCTTCTGGCTGGCTCTTACAACTTTAACCTTTTGTGCTTTTGTACAAACTATTATAATAAATAGCCTAAAAGTTATTTTTCAGGAGTGTTCGAACGTCAGCCTCTTTAGAGGAGTACTTGTCTAACCCTAGCTACCCCCTTTGGCCACTCCCTCAACCCCAAAACCTGGACCCCTGGCCGGACCCTGCGCCCTCAACCCTAGGCAGTGCAGTTCAAGACCAACTACATGACGTGAGGGCTATCAGTGCCACAGGAACCGCCTTCGCAGCTATTCGGCAGGATGGCTCTGTGGTGACCTGGGGTGGTGATCTTGGGGGTGGCAACTGCAATGACGTGCGTGCTCAGCTGGTGGACGTGCAGCAGATCCAAGCCACCAAAGGTGCTTTTGCTGCTATCTTGGCAGACGGCTCTGTTGTGACCTGGGGCAATCCAGCAACAGGCGGCACCTGCACCCATGTGCAAAGCCAACTGAGACGTGTGTCGCAGATCCAAGTAACCGACAGAGCTTTTGCAGCTATCACGGAAGATGGCTCCGTTGTGACCTGGGGTGATGCGCGCTATGGAGGTGACAGGGCCTATGGATCTACCAAACCGGTGGAACCACTTCAGGGCGTGCAAGCAATGCATGCAAATCATTTTGCCTTTGCAGCACTGCTCGACAATGGTGGGGTGGTGGCTTGGGGAGCACCACATGCCGGTGGTGAAACTGCTGCTGTGCTGGGCCTCTTGAAGAACGTCCGACAGATTGCAGCCTCTCACATGGCTTTTGCTGCCATCCTGCAAGATGGATCCGTTGTCAGCTGGGGCGATGAGAACCATGGCGGTGGGTTTCACCAAGACCTTAGCCAATGAGCTTCTAGGTACCAGGTAGGCCCTTGGAGAATTATGTTGTTCACTTACTGGGCAGAAAAGGATCGTATTCGGGCTGAGGGGTTGAGGGCGTTCAAGTTCAGGGCGGTCGAGGAATTTTGGCTTGAGGCTTCGCGGAATTTACGCTTTGTGCTTAGGAGTCTAAGGTCTCGCTTCTGGAGCCTAAAGCCTATAGCCTTCAACCCTAGAAGCCCAACAATGCCATGATCCCTACCCTAAACCCTCAACCCTGAGTTAAGTCCCACACCGAGGAATTTAGGGTTTATGAGTTCAGGGTCTCACATCTGAAGCCCAGAACCCTGGAACCCCTGCACTCTAAACCCCGAACCCTGAATTCACCCTAGTTCCTAAGCGCCCTAAGTCCTATAACCTAAGTCCTAAGCCCCTCCCTATCCCTCCCCGCCCGTCCGGCAGGACCAGACGACACTTCAGCTCCAGGTTCGGCCGGCGGCAGGTTCGGCTATTACCCCAAACTCCCAACCCCCGGAACTCCTAAAGGCTTGTTCTTGGCTCAAAATATGTTAATCGTTGGCACCACTTGGAGCAAAATGTTTTTTGGCTGGCAGTTCTTGGTTCAAAACTATTTTGATTTGTTGGCACTACTTGTAGCAAAACATCTTAATTTAGTTTTTTTGCACACACACATTCTTCCAAACATACTTTTTACATACCATACAACATGGCACAGGCACAGACCCTGCAAAGGTCACCTTTCTGTAGGGTCACCTTTGGTAGTCTCCGATAAGAACCCCAAAAGAATAACATATAAGAATCCCTGTATTAGCCTTAATAAGGAAGAACATTTTTGTTTTTTTCTGGGTTCTTACGCAATCAGGGAGGGTTCGGGGCTTGATGGGTTTGAAGATGTCAGCGGCCTTGTACTTGTGATAAAACCCTAAACCCTAAACCCTAAACCCTAAACCCTAAACCCTAACCCCAAACCCCTAAGCCCTCGAAGTTGTTCCCTGAGCTTTGTTGCCTTTGGAGGATTTTGTTTGCCTTGTCACATGGTCTTTGTGTGTGACCGCACGTCAACATGTCTAGCTACTAGATGGGCGATGGCCCTGCAAGAAGGGGCAAGAGCAAGCTCAGCGACCGAAGGCCTGCAAGCGGAATGCTTGCTCCCAGCAGTTTCGGCCAGCCAGGAAGCCTAGACGAACACGCTGCCAAACCCCACACCCTCCGGCATCCCACCAAACGACTCAAAGTGTCGCCCCAATCGGCCCCCCCCCCCCCCCCCCAATAAGTAAAACTCACCAAATTCAGTCAAACAAGCCAGGTACTTTTTCTTGGTTCGGGAGCGGGCCGATGCAAGAATACCAGGAAGGGACTCTAAACCCTAAACCCTGAACCCTGAACCCTAAACCCTAAACCCTAAACCCTAAACCCCATTCTAAAGCCCCAAGCCTCGACCATGGCCTTCGAGCACACCTTCACAGAGCGGCTCCCCCAGTTCGGAGCCACCCTGGAGCAGAATGCCGAGAGGTGGGGGGGGCTTTTTTACGAAACATAGGGGACCTCCAGTTGAGGGTTTGGGGTTTAGGGTTTAGGGTTTAGGGCTTAGGGTTTGGGGTTTAGGATTTAATATACGTCCCCAAATAGTAGGATCCCCTTATAAAAGGGACCCCAATACAGCACCGCCAATTTCGGAAACCACCAGGTGACTCACGTCTGGGGGTGAAGGGCTTTGGGATGTAGGGTGTTGGAACTGTTCCCTAAACCCTAAACCCTAAATCCTAAACCCTAAGCCCTAAACCCTTAATCCTTGCCTCCTCAACAGACTCAAACCCATGAGCCAAGATACCGGAAGCCCTGAAGAGTTGAATTCTGGCCTTCGAGGCCTTCGAGGGCTTTAGGGTTTAGGGGTTTAGGGTTTAGGGTTTAGGGTATAGGGTTTAGGGTTTAGGGTTTAGGGCAAAGCTCTCCTAACTGCGGGAAGGTCGGCCAAGATGGCGGCATGGTCCAAAGGGATCCATGTGGCGGATCCCGCAGGAACCATGCCCGGTCCTCAGAAGGGTTTAGGGTTTAGGGTTTAGGGTTTAGGGTTTAGGGTTTAGGGTTTAGGGTTTAGGGTTTAGGGTTTAGGGTTCGGAGCTTCAGGGCGGGGGGAGGAGCAAAAGGGGGGCTTGAGTGGCTTCGGGGTAGCGGGGGATTCCATGGGGGGGGGGGGTCTACACCCTAAACTCTAAACCCTAAACCCCAACCCTGCAGGATTGGCTGGTCCGTTTATGGCAGTCATGGCATAGATGCAACAGCCCACCCACCCACCACCCCCCCCCCGTGCTCACCTGAACCTGAGTTGAGGAAGCAGATGTTCGAGACATTCATCGGCAAGAGGCTGCTGCAGCATGAGGAGCGGTACTTAGGGCTGAAGGTTTAGGGTTAGGGTTTAGGGTTTAGGGGTTTAGGTGTTTTTTTAGGGTTTAGGGTTTAGGGTTACTCAGGGGCGGTAGAGGGGTTATGGAACCCGCTTGTGCAGGGTTGCTGTCAGGTTCCCATGGGGCTACACTGTTTAGAGGATCTGCACAAAAAAAAGGCTAACTCAAACCTAGACCCTAGACCCTAAACCCTAAACCTGCTTTCCATTTCAAAGTGGCTCCCTTCGCGGGAGTTCTCCCTGAATTCCCTGAGAGGTGGATGAGAAGGGCACGAGCCAACAGGAGCAGGCCAAAGACCCTAAACCCTAAACCCTACACCCTAAACCCGAAACCCGAAACCCTAAACCCGAAGCCAGGCTAAGGAGTCCGACTCCAGCTCATCGTCCTCCAGTGCCTCAAAGAGGAAGCAGCGGAAGCAAAAGAAGAAGGAGAAGAAGAAGAAGGCCAAGAAGGGAAAGAAGGCAGGGTTTAGGGTTCAGGGTTCAGGGTTCAGGGTTTAGGGTTTAGGGAAAAGGGTTTAGGGTTTAGGATGCTTCTCGTATGAAACTCTCAAATGGGGACTACCGCCTCTAAAGGTTCGGGAAGAACTACTGTTCAAGGGTTCAAGGCTTTGGGGCCCCCAGGTGTGCTGTTTTTCGATTACATGTCTACACCCTAAACCCTAAACCCTAAACCCTCCTAGCGCCTTGGTGGTATGTTTGGCTTGTGGTTCCCGAGGCCAAGGATAAGAAAACTCCGAAAGGCAGCGACAAGAAGGACACGGCAGAGTTCAAGGCCGGCGTTGAGGATCCATGCACATGTGCGAGATGACATCAAGAGACCCTAAACCCTAAACCCTAAACCCTAAACCCTAAACCCTAAACCCTAAACCCTAAACCCTAAACCCTAAACCCTAAACCCTAAACCTGAACCCTAAACCCTGAACCCTAAACCTTGGCCCAGTAGAGTGGGATCCTGCACCTACTCACCTGGTTTCGGGCTGGGTCTCATGCCGCTTTAGGGTGCCATCGTCTAGGGCACTGAGGGGTTAGGGTTTAGGGTTTAGGGTTTAGGGTTTAGGGTTTAGGGTTTAGGGTCTCTTTCATGGAGAGCTTGCCCCCAAAGCAACCTCTAAAGGCGCGGCTGAAGCGAGAACGGCAGGTGGGAGATGCAGAGGCACGAAAGTACGGGGTCTGCCCTTGAAAGAATCCCATGCCGTTCGTATTCTTGCGAAACCCTAAACTTCGGTTTTTGTTTCGGGTTTGGGATGTAGGGTTTGGGGTTCAGGGTAGGGTTTAGGGTTTAGGGTGTAGGGTTTAGGGTTTAGGGTTTAGGGTTAAGGGTTTAGGGTTCAGGGTTCAGGGTTCTCAGTTCTCAGTTCTCAGTTCTCAGGGTTCAGGGTTCAGGGTAGAGTTTAGGACTTATAAACCCTTAAGCCCGACCCCAAAAGGTCCGGGCAAACACGCGGGGCCGAACCTGGGGGCAGTGCTCTCCGGAAAGGGGAAGCTCTACGACTCCACTTTCCCCCTTCCCTCCCACCCCACTGTACGTTCAGGCTTCCAGGTTGCGATCGCTGCTTTTGGGGCATGCGGCGTTGGAGGGCAGAAGACCGTTTACCATGAAATGCTCTCTCTCTCTCATTCCTCTCTCCCCCTCTCTTGCCAGGGTTTCTGGGTAGCTTTGATCCAAAAACTGGTCGGGGACTGGCTCACACAGGTTCGAAGAATATGAGCCATGTCACCCGCAAAACCACATCTTCCTAAACCCTAAACCCTAAACCCCTTCTGTGCTCTTCCTTTCCTCAAGCTGCAGAGTATCAGGCGGCGTTGGACCCAAAGTATGCCAAGATCATCGACCGCTTCGGGGCCGCAACGCTGTCCAACCAAGAAACCCCACCTGTTTCTACAGCCCCCTTAGCTACGGTTGAGGTTTAGGGTTTAGGGTTAAGGGTTTAGGGTGGCTACGAATTGCTTAAGAACCCCCCCCCCCCCCCCAAGAAAAAATATAAAAGACGAATAATCCTCCTGATGCACTAGGGTTATCGTTTGGTTCTTAAGCACATAGTACTTAGGAATTGCAAGCAAGAATATAAGACCCAAGGGAAGAATGACCCTGATTACTTAATTCAGGTTCTACGTCATCTGAGTAGACGTCTCCTTCCAAGCCGTGCTGTGGTTCGCAACGCCTTAGGGGGTTTAGGGTTGAGGGTTTAGGGTTTAGGGTTTAGGGTTTAGGGTTTAGGGTTTAGGGTTTAGGGTTTAGGGTTTAGGGTACCCTAAACCCTAAACCCTAAACCCTAAACCAGAGTGTCCCTGCAGGCTTTCGGCAGAATGTCAACCCCTTGCTGAAGAAAGCCACCTAGCACCCAAAGCGGGTGAGCCTAGCTCTGCTGTGAGCATCCGGCATCTACCAGGCAGGGTTTAGGGTTTAGGGTTTAGGGTTTAGGGTTTAGGGTTTAGGGTTTAGGGTTTAGGGTTTAGGGTGTAGGGTGTAGGGTGTAGGGTGCAGGGGAGTTGCCTGAAGACGGGCTTCCTGGTGCTTGGGGGCCGTGCGGTAACTTTGGGCGATGCTTAGGGTTTAGGGTTTAGGGGAGTTGCTTGGCCCTTGATCCAGGCAGATGGCCCACGCACCTGGGCCAGCCAGCATGTGGTGAACATCGTCTCCATGCTCATTGCGGTGCAGCCCCCGCCCCCGCCCCTCCACTGAAGGGCCACTAGGGGAGACGCATCTTCGTGGAGGGGTGACAAGAACCACTGCGCATGGACCCTGGGCTAAGCCAACTGCTGACAAGTGTTTGGAAAACGCCCTTGAAGGATTATAGTAGCCCAACACGTGCCCTTTTTTTCGGTAGGTTCCCTAGCCCTTAGTACTCTGCACCCGAGAAGCCCTAAACCCTAAACCCCAGGGTCCTTTGAAGTAGCGCAGATGCATCTTCGAGCCAAGACCCCAGCGGCAGGTGCTTGGACCTGTGCCGCCTGCACGTTGCTGTAGGGTTGAGATTTTCAGGTTTCGGGTTTGCACTTCGGGGTGCGGATTTTGGGTCTAGACTCCGCAAAAGATACCCTAAACCCTCAAGCCTTATTCCATAACCAAAAACCCGAAGCCCCTGAACCTTTGAAGTCACTGGGGCAGATCTCTTGGCTGGGACGCGGCGCGCTGGAAAAGAAAAAACGTGCGTTTCACAAAGGGAGTCATTGCTTTCGGGGGTCTGGGGGGTTTAGGGTTTGGGGTATAGGGTTTAGGGTTCAGGGTTTAGGGTTTAGGGTTTTGGGGCTTAGGGTTTAATTAGGATTTAGGTTTCTGGGGAGCATTGAGGGCACAGGACCCCGGAAGTTACAGTTGAAGTGAAGCCACGGCAAATTTCTGCGCGCCCTGAAGCCAAAAGCCCTAAACCCAACTCCCCAGAAGCGCCTTTGAGGATCTCTTGAGGTTCAGGGTTGGGGATTTAGGGTTTAGGGTTTAGGGTTTAGGGTTTAGGGTTTAGGGTTTAGGGTTTAGGGCCTCGGCAGCAGAATGTGCGGCAACGAGGAGCATGGGAGGGAGTCCTGTGATATACCCAGGATTAGAGCTTGCAGGGTCTTGAATGTTGATTCCACCCTCCTTCCTGACATCGTGGGCTTAGGGGTTAGGCTTTTGGGTTCAGGTGACTACTGCAAGTTCAGCCTTTTGCCGGTAGCTTTGAGGTACATCGGGCTCGGGAAGAATGGAACAGCTGTGGACGCTTCCTGGGAATGAGATGGGGAAGCAAGTTGGAACCTAAACCCTGCCTACAGTAACCTTCCCTACAAGACAGGAAATGCGCTGTAGCTGTTTGGATTTTCTACTTGACCCTGTTTTGAGGTTACTGTACCCTAAACCCTAAACCCCAAACCCCAAACGCCAAACCCTAAACCCTAAACCCTACAAAACCTGTGCATCTTCTGGCTCCTGGCAGGACTCCCCGAGCCGCAGCCATCGCTTCATCATCGCTGCGGCGAAGGTGCTGCGCCCGCTTACTGCTGGAGGTTTACAGTTTAGGGTTTCGGGTTTAGGGTTTGGGGTTTAGGGTGCTGTGTCCACTTTGCAGAGTATATATATGTGTATATATATACACACATGTATGTACATATTTCTTTATTTTTTTGCATACGTATGTGTAGGACTGTGTTTAATATAAGCATTAGCATGTACAGTTTTGTGTACTTCTTCATTAAGGCCTTCGTATGCGTCCAGTTAGTGCATTCTCGAAGGCATCGGCAAAAACCCCAGAATTTGCAAGCGGCTGGCACAACCCTGCACCTTAAATGCGATGGTCCTAAGCAGGGTTCCCTCATAGATGCACTAAGACATCGCCAAAAGAGCCCCAGCAAGGGGCCCTGATGTAGAATCTCGAACGTTCCCTGTGATCATGCAGCACACATGGGCCTCCTCAAAAACGAATCTGCGTGTTAAACTTCACCCTAAACCCCGAAACCCCCAAACCCTGACCCCTAAACCCTAAACCCTAGAGCCTAAAATCCTCATGTTTTAGGGCTTCGAGTTTGGGGGTTCAACCCCGAGAGCACTTGGCAACGTGGCGGCGCGAGGCGTCTGAGTCCGCAGATGAGGTGCTCGCTCGGCTGAATCGTGGACTTTGGTTTTCAGGGCTTCTCCTTCTAAACCCGAAACCCTATAAACCCGAAACCTTTTTGGGTTCAGGGGTTAGGGTTTAGGGTTTAGGGTTCAAAGCTCAAACCATCCTTGGGCTAGCTCCGGTTGTTTGGGGGGACTCATTGTGACTACAAGGGTTTCCAGGTTTTTCGGGTTTTTAGGGTTTAGGGGGTTGTTTATGGGGTTTATTGGAGGGTTTAAATGGAGGGTTATTGGGGGGGGGGGGGGGGGGGGGTTGTCGAGTTTATGGGGATTATGGGGGGTCATAGTGTTATACAGGGTTTGTAGTGTGTATAGAGTTTACAGGGTTTACAGAGTTTCTGGGTTTATGGGGTTTATGGGATTTGCAGGGTTTCGGCAATCGGGCTTTTTTGTTTTGGGAGATCAGAAGGAGACCCTAGACCCTAAATCCTAAACCCTAAACCCTAAACCCTAAACCCTAAACCCTAAAATCTACGGCCTCCCCTCCTGAAGAAAGTTAACTTAAGCCCAAGTTGAATCCCTAAACCCTAAACCCCTCTTCCATCCCAGTAGTGGAGTCGAACTTCATGTCACGGGTTCACTTCTTTATTGTCTTCTTAAGGGAGGGGGCCTCACGGGTAGGTACCTAGGGAACCTTAGGGAAGCATATAGGGAGCAGTGGGGAGTAAACCCCCTAAATCCTAAACCCTAAACCCTAAACCCTAATCTAAGCACAGACTCCAGATTCTGTGTTTTCCCGCAGTGGCGCAGGCGAAGACGCTGCGACTGGAGGTTCTGCTGTTTGAGGGTCGGATTTCGGGATTCAGGACTTTTCAGGATTCAGGATTCAAGGGTTTAAGGTTTAGGATTTAGGGTTTGGGGTTTAGGGACTCGGGTTGAAAGGTTCAGAGGTTTTATGAGGCATTTACAAAGGGCTACCGCAAATTATTTCCTCCCTCCCTCCCTCATGACGTGGGAGTCTGGGAGTGTAGGGTTTAGGGTTTAGGGTTTAGGGTTTAGGGTTTAGGGTTTAGGGTTTAGGGTTTAGGGTTTAGGGTTTAGGGTTAAAAGGTTTAGGGTTTAGGGATTAGGGTTTAGGGTTTAGGGTTTAGGGTTTTCATGAACCTCCCAGTCGGATCGGAGCTCGCCAGGCACTCAGCAGTCAGGGAAGCAGCAGCACCAACACCGAGAAGGGAGTTCAGCCACGCTCCCAAGGACTCCCAAGCACTGTTCGGAGGTTGGGGGGTTTAGGGTTTAGGGTTTAGGGTTTAGGGTTTAGGGTTTAGGGTTTAGGGTTTAGGGTTTAGGGTTTAGGGTTTAGGGTTTCGGGTTTAGGGTTTAGGGTTTAGGGTTTTGCTTAGGGTTTTGGGCTACTTGGAGGTTCATTGGTACTTATATGTGGGTTTATACGTAGGGTAACAAGTACTATCACCTTATTTAGGGTACTGATAACCCTACCGTTATTTCTCCTACAGGGTTTGGTCTGGGCTTGTTGCCATAAAAGGAGTGATGAACAAAGAGTTCACGAACCCTTGGGTCCCTTAAAGTAGGCTTTAGGGTTTAGGGTTTAGGGTTCAGGGTTTAGGGTTTAGGGTTTAGGGTTTAGGGTTTAGGGCGACCGAAGATGTTGCCAGAAGTTGCCGCGTTGCTCCTCGGCCTGTTTGCTTGCAACAGTCCTAGACGCATCTCATTCAAACCCTAAACCCCAAACCCCTAAACCCTAAACTCTAAGCCCTAAACCCTCAAGCCTAAACCCTAAACCCTAAACCCACCTTGTTCTCGATGCAGATCAACCAGGGGCTGATTTAAACCTTGCAGCCCTTGCACGTTGACCAGACTCACGAGACCTTGTCTTTCAATGGCTTGGCTCAAAAAGGCCTGCACTCCCGCCAGCAGATGGTAAAAGCAGTGATTCGCGCTTCAGACATACGCACGGCTCCTCCATTTGGTAGTAGCAAATTCGGAAGCTTCACAAGCCCCTGAAGCCTACACGTAGGGATTCCTGTGTACTTCTGCCGGTCGTGATCGGAAGTCAGCAGGGCATCTGTGTCTATTACCTTCTCTAGGGTACTTCAAACCCTACTTACTGGCACCCCATGAACCCCTAAACCCCCCGAAACCCGAAACCCTGAACCCTGAACCCTGAAACCTAAACCCTAAACCCTAGACCCTAAACCCTAAACCCTAAACCCTAAACCCTAAACCCTAAACCCTAAACCCTAAACCCTAAACCCTAAACCCTAAACCCTAAACCCTAAACCTAACGTCTCCTGAGGTTTGACAACAAGGACAGCAAGGACCGCTTGGCCAAGTCCTGCTTGAAACCCTGGAGGTCGCCAGGTTCCCCAGTTGGGATGCTTCAGAATTTTGTGGGGTTTAGGGTTTGGGGTTTAGGGTTTAGGGTTTAGGGGTTTCAGGATCCAGGGATTCTAGCATGTTGGTTTTTTTAGAGTCCCCCTATTTTGGGAAACTAGCATATGGTGGTGGCTGAAGTTCACGACAGACTTGAGACACTGGACTGCAAGTAGCTTGCTAGAAGCCATGATGAGCGCATGTCTTGTGAATGTTCAGGCTGCTTCGCTGGTCATCTGAGTGCGCAGCCGTTTCCAGCTGCACATCAGTCCTGTGTTGAAGAGGAGCCCATCCGGAAGCAACATGTCGAGGCTCCTCGCTGACACGGACTACGTGGATGGCGCAGTGGCCAAGTTGCAGGAGCAGCTTGCTCGCGAGATCCGGAGGTTGGACGCACGCATGAACTCCCTGCTCATGTCG